ATTAGCACAGACTTAACATATTAGAAATCAAGCTCATCGAGTATCTTGGTATATAGCATTAGGCATAGTGATCGTAGAGAACTAACAAACCAAAAGTAACATAGTTCCAAGAAATAAATTCATCCTTTAATAACATAGTTCATAAAGGAATTAGGGAACTCATATGCAATCAAGCATGCTCATTATCAAAAATTAAGATTAAATTTGCTAGATGGCATCAAATCTCATAAAGATAATCAGAATATCAATCCAGATTTTAGTCTAGCAATTAAAACATCAAGCACAAAAAATTTTCAGAACTCGCATCAGCTTCTAAGGCATTCTAAAAGACTCCTCAAGAATCAGGAACTACGAAGGTAGTGAGGGAAGACTCTTCAAGATATTTTGGTGTGCCATTAAAAGAAACAGATTGCCTTTAAGAATCAAGTAGGTTCAAAGCCATTTCGCAGAGTGACGGACTCACTTTACAAAAAGCTCTAGAACTTTCAGAAATGAAAACAACAGTTTAAAGTCAACAACCTCTGTTCCCGTAATCCTGGATCTATCCTATTTAAAAATAAAACAAACTTTAAAAACCGACACATGCACAAACCAGGAACTAATTCCCCCACACTTAAAATAAAGCACAGATCCGATGCAAACTAAAGAAAAATAGAAAGCAAACTAGTCACCGCAACTCAGTTTGTCATAGAAGGACTTGGTGGAGTGAGATTCTGACTCCACAGAATGACTGATGTCCTGATGTGTTGCATCTATGGATCTCTAAATGAATTAGGGTGAGACTAATACCTTTTCTGTACATGGTAACACATACATAAAACGCTGCAAATAAAATCACACAAAAAGAAGACAAACTAAAAGAAAAAGAACATGGGTAGTCTCCCATGAATTAAGCAAATGGGTACAATGCACGATGCATTCAATCATCAAGTTTCATGGCTTCAAGGCACTCGGAATAACCATCCCGATACTATAAGTACGTGCCATTAAATGATCGATCATGTCTCCAGGAAGTATTCTCTTCAATCATCCAACATATAGGAAAATCCATCATGCTCCACCTCTCCTCCATCATTTTGGGGACCTCATTGGCTTGAAATTGATCAAAATCAACATACTAGTTTTGTACATCCCAAGTGACATCATCTTTATATGCACCACCATGACTCCCACCAATGGAAATAATTGACTTTTCTTCACCCATACACAGATTTGTATCCCCAATGTCAATTATCTCTTCCTTTGGAGAGTCTCATCAAGAGCTAAGCATGAATCACCTTCACAAAACAGTTCCTTTAACATCAATTCCTCATCAAGTGGGTCATTAACAACTTGTTGCACTACTCTTGGCTCAACAAATTTTTCATCACTACTTGGGGATGTCAATTTATCACAAACCCTTAGTGGGTATGGTGGTGGAGGAGGTCTAGGTGGTGGTTTTTGTTAAGGTGGTGGGTGCACTTCCACCTCTGTTGGTTCTATTGTGGCTTCCACATTTGGTTCTGGTTCATTATCCTTCATTGACTAGAGTATTTTTTTCATGGGTTTTGCTCTCTCTCTCTCTCTCTCTCTCTCTCTCTATTCTAATGATGTCTTCCACCTTTTGTGGATCTAGTTGTTAAGCTCTTTGTGCCATCTTCTTGGGATAGCTAGTACTGCACAATTTCCTTGAGTCAATCTATGACTTCAGCAAGTCAAGTCTAAGATTAATCATGTCAAGCTGCTGTTGGAGTTATGAAGTCGAGCCCAGCCCATAAAGATAAGGTACTTGATAAGGAAGAAAGTAATCTATCAATCCTTTGGACTGGTTCTGTGGAATAAAAAGATATCCAAGATATGAAAGATGATTAACCGTTTTAAGTTTCAAATTTAGGCACAAACTTCACCTTTAAACTCGCATGACTTTTGCAAGTAGAAAACTGACACTACACAGTGATAAAAAGAGAAACAATGAAAACAAAAAATCAATCAATGCTAAAAAAGGTTTCCCGCCAACCCCGACAACGGCGCCATTTTTTATGGGTGTCGAAACTACCAAAATTAACCTACTTAGAACTGTAGAAAGTGGTAAGAAAGGTCGATCCTAGAGGGACGGGTGTAACTCTAATAACCCTCCATAATTCAACAACAAAACAAACAGAAAAATAGATGACTTGCGAAAGTGAAAACGCTGACTTAGTTTAGTGTTCTGGGGTTCTTATTCAACTATCCTCTCTCTAGTTTCTTATTCTGGTAGTGTGAAACTGTGTTTGATTAGGCACAAATACATCGTAAAGTTACTTTCGATTCTTCCAGATAGAGTCTTAACTGCAGTAAACGCTGTAACTTCCGTTGCTGATTCCAGAATACTATTAGGCCATTAAGTTTCAAAACCCTATGATAACCTCGTGCCAAACAACTAACTTCTGTTGTTCTTTGAAACCTTGTGCTGTTACGCCCTCGTCACCGGTTAATACTGGACATTCTAAAAAATGCTTACCCGTAAGGGATTCACAACACATGCATGCATAATTGACATCATGCTAATGAAAAGGTTAATTCAAGCTCTAGTAGTAGGCATACAAATATCATCCAAGTACAACAATGAATAATAACTTAAGAGATTGAAGGGATTAAAACTCCATACACAGTTTAACTACTCATGTTCTTGACTACAATGGATATAACATTGATCCACATAGCCAAGGACATGATTACAAACAACAAAAATACAACTAAAGAAAAAAAACAGAGTAAGGAGACAAATCTGCTACTGCTGTTGGAGGCTTGCGACTCGAGCAAATGACTGTCACTTCCCAGAGTCGTCTCCCGTGGCTGCTGCCTAATGCTCCTCTTTTCTCTCTCTACTGTCTATATTTCTATGGGACACTCCCTCTCTCTCTCTCTCTCTCTCTCTCTCTCTCTCTCTCTCTCTCTCTCTCTCTCTCTCTCTCTCTCTCTCTCTCTCTCTCTCTCTTGATTTCATCCTCTACTGCTGTCCTTCTTCTGCCTTTTATAGAAGAGTATGGTCTCCTTCGCCTTCGCTTCTTGATTGGTATTGCTTAGTTGAGAAGAAATTTTTTTTGACTAGTATGGGTGTCCATACCTTGTTGTCTTCCTTTGCCTCTAAATTTATCTCCTCCTCAAGCCTCCCATGCCATTTCACTCTGATTTGCAACCCCAAAAATTGGTAACCTCAAATCAACACCTTCTCACTTAGCAACCAAGCATTTGCGGCCATCATATTCTCTTTGGTATGTCTTAGCCTTGAGGACTTGCTCCTCCATCTTCCTTAAATTAAGACTTTCCAAGGTTGCTCCAATTCGGTGTCCATGTACTACTACTGGCGGTCTCTCCATCTTTTTCTCATATTTGCATAATCAATCCAATTGGGGATTTTCGATTGATGCCCAGAAATTTACCAATATGCACATATTTGCCCACTTTTTTTCTATATTTTCAATTAGGTCCCTTAGTCACCCAAAACATTAAATCCTAATTAGAAATAACTAATTCTTAACTAAACATTATAATTTACAAGTTAAAAAGAGGTTAATTATCATACTTTTTGATGTATAATTTGACTCTTATCAGGAAACGATGAATTGGGCATGTAGTTTTTCAAAGGAGGGCATGATTCATGTCATTTGATTATCTCACTCTTAATCGCCCTTGAAACTTTGATCTTCAAAGAGGGCCTAATTCATTTCATTTGATAATCCATCTAACCTCTTTGTTCCCCAACCGTATGAATATGAAGATCGTGGTGTCAATTTGGTTGTTTATAGTCTGAGACGAAGCGTGGAAACCCCTTGTTTATTTTTGAATTTCTATATTTTTAATTTGGTTCTTTTAGGGTTTTGTTTAGTTGTTAACATTGAGTTTAACTATTGTAAGCGACTTATATTGAAATTTACATTTAAATTTTATTTCTTATTTTAACTTAATTTCTTAAATGGTAAATTTGAAACAATAAACGTATGTTGTAAATAGTAAAAACGTATTAAAACTGTCATCAGTTTGTAAAATTATAAAAACACACATTATCGATAGACAAAAAATACAATAACTTGGAACTCACAAAAAAAAGACACTAGAACAATAAAAAAAATTCATTGTTTTGATTAAAATATGGAATGACATACAAATAATTAAAAATAATAACACTCAAACTTACAAGCACTATAACAATACCGTAGGAAAATAAAAATTAAAAGAATCGATAAACTAGGCAATTCAAAATATTAAACCTTAATGAAAATATATTTCATCGTAAAAATAAAAGATAACTTAATTAAAATATTGTACTTTAGTATAATGAAATTTGGGTGTAAAACCCAGACTACTACAGTAATAAAGAGAATGACATCCAAAAAACTCTATAATATTAGTTTGTCTAGTTACTAAGTGATTAATATCATTCTTAAATTGTACTCTAGCTAGCTTTTGAACATTGTGAAATGTTAAAGTTAAGAAATTCAATTAGACTATATATCAATTTTCCAATTATATTTAAAATCTAACTGAATAACAATGATAAATAGGAAGTTCACTTAGATGCCAGTAGTATTTAAAAAATAAAATTCCAAAGTCCAAAAATGAACACAAAAAATAAAAGAAAACACAGAAAAGATTAATAGTAGTCAATTTTAAAAGCAAAGCAGAATCATCTCAAATTCTTTAAAAAATCCAGTTATCTGAAAAAGATGAGGACACCGTAGCATAGACAGACCTGAAAAGTAGAATTCTAACCTAGATGTGTCATTCCATTTTCCAATGCCCAAAGGCGCAAATCTTAACACAAAAGATCAAAACCCCCTGATTTTGATATTGTGCACAAAAATCCAACTTTAATTGGGCTGTGAAATACATTAGCTAATGTCGTTATTTTCTAAAAATCTAGCTGCCATCTCTTTCTCGAGTTTTAAGTCTAATACTTCAAATAAAAAATAAATGAGGAAATTAAGTGGACAATTACTTTACCTGACTCCCTACTATGTGTACATACAGAATGCACCACAATGATCTTGAACAAATTTCATCACCTCATGAAAAAGGTGGATGTGAATGGATGGACTGCACTTCATTATGCTGCTAAATTCAATCAGATTGAAACAGTAAATGTGTTATTGTCAAAAGACAACTCTGTGGGTTATGTTTTTGCAAGTAACGATGACGCTTTAACAGCTCTTCATATTGCCATAATGCATGGACAATTACGTGTTGCCAAGGAAATTTTGTCGCACTGCCCTGATTGCTGGGAGATGGTGACTTATAAAAATGAAAATATACTGCACCTTGCCATTGAGAATGAGCAACAAGAAGTGCTTGAGTTCATTTTGGATACTAGTTGGGCTTCTGAACTCATAAATAAAAAGGATGAAGATGGGAACACTGCTCTTCATCATTATGTTGGTACCAAAAATTTAAAGGGGTGTAATCTTGTAAACCATCCTTGGGTTGACAGGAGTGCCTTTAACAAAAAGGGGTTGACTCCGTTAGACATTGTCACAAGGGAGACGGAACAACTCACGACAAGACAGGTAAATAACCTTCGCATCATTTTGGTATTCTTTTGGCACATGCTTTTCATCAAGTACTCTCATAGCAAAGTGGGATGAAGGGATTGAAGGAGTACCATATTATTATTATTATTACAATTAATATTTTTGAATAACTATTATTATTATTATTATTATTTTGTAAAGTCACTTAAGTTTGTAGAAATAATATTATCATACATAACATGCAAAGAAGATTAAATGAATGATAACCTAGAAGACTGTTGAGTTTTGGTATTTAGTTTTAGTATTTTTTACTAAAAGTAAAAATTTCGAACTGGATGATCATCTAGGGATAAAGGCAATAAAGCCTATTCTGATGGCAGTGCTTTACAACAATATATGTTTATGGAAGTATGTTAATGTAATAGGTCAAACTGATAGTGTTGTCATTAGCCTCAAAATTCTATCTGGGTCTCCGTTATGATCCAAAAAGTTTCACTAAAATATTCAAACTTCAATTTGCTTTGCATTTAAACAAAATCCCATTTCCATCATCGAGCTATTCGAACAATGATCCAAAGTGCTCATGGAAATCAACTTGTTGTTATATTTTTGTTGGGAACAGTTTGTTGAAAAATTAACTATAGCCTAATTCTTCTATTATCTAATTTCATATTTCAATTAGACATGAGTTGCTCACACCAAGTGCGGGCACAAATTTTTGGAGGGTATTCCCTGAACAACCCGATGAAGCAAGCGGTGTTGGGGAACGTGATAATGCACAAACATTTATGGTTATTACTACACTAATACTCACTGTTAGTTTTGTAGCTGGATTCACCATCCCGGGCGGTTACGACTCCTCAAAAGATAATGCAGGCATGGCGATTCTTGGAAAGAGAGCATCGTTCGTGGCATTTGTCGTCTGAGACTCAATAGCAATGTTGATGTCAATTAGTGCTGTACTGGTACAAATTAATGCACAAGAAGGAGGGTTCTTCCCCGACGAAAAAGAAAAGGTAGTGGGTTTCAGTAAGCTGCTAGTTGCCATTGCTCTCATGTTTCTGGTGATAGCATTCTTGGGCAGCACGTATGCCATTATACCTGTGTGACTCATCCATGTTTATCTAATTGTTATTGGGGTTGGGTTTGGAGTTCCATTAGTTATTCTAGCAATTTTTCGAGTATGCGACTTTTACAGAGAATTTATGCTTATTCCAGACCATGACTCCACTGTTTGAAACATATTAAGAGAGTCTCAGGTGTTTGCTTTTAAAGTGGATATTGTTTTGGAATTCTTTTCATATGGTGGCGGCTTTAGTTGTTATATGTAGAGACATTTAATTTCCTCCTTAGTAAATCTTGAAAATCAACGTGTACCTTTTCTTTTAGGGAAAAGGAGAATAATAAATACCATTTTACCAGACACTGAAATCTCCTCCAAAAAATTGATAATCAATACCACTAAAAAAAAAAGAAAAATATTTTGCTATTAAGCTAGACATAGCAAAAATTATGATAGTGCATACTACAGGCGGTTACACGCCCACTGCGTTGGGGATTTTAACTCCTCTACACACAAAATTCTGGATATTTACTCACTCAACACATGCATGCAATAGAATAAAAGTAAACAACCAAGCAAAATCACAACAAGAAGCACTCCACAAATACTATGGTTCATTCTCTCATGGATCTACATACATTTAACAACACATCTACAAGAATAAGAATGGAGTATACAAAGTGTAAAGCATTCCTTAATACACAAATCTCTCCCTGAGTCGATTGTACCCTTACACTCTCACAAAGCGTTTCCCGTACTCAGCCCGCTACGTGCTCTGGAAATTAAAAACAATATCTACAAAGAGTAAAAAATAGAAGAGGAGTCTCAACTCAACTCAATTCTATTTTCTTCTCCCCTCACTCAAGCTCTCTCTCAAGCGGCTACTTCTTGCCTTCCTCCCAAATAATTCTAGTATAAATCACATCTATTTGTACTAGAACTCTAATACAAATCCTACACCTTATTGGACTCTAATTGGCCCAATACTCACTTCATGTGCTTGGGAATTTGCAGCAAAACCCAACACACTGTGTGCGTTTAACTTTCAGTCCATGGAACACCTACTGTGTGCGCGCAATGGCAGGGAAATAGAACAAGAGAGGAAAAGAAATTGAATGTGGTTAGCAACAATAACCGAAGGAGAAACAAATCAATGTGATGAAAAAAATTTTCACCACTGAAGAATGAATCAATTGAAACCAAGGAAAGTAACCCTAGTCAAAGCAAATCTCAATTGCTCCTAATTCAACTACTGTACTAGAACAATTGTGTAGACAAAAAGTAATGGAAATTGGAGAAAATTCAGAGGCTAAGGAATTGGGGAACACAATTGATAAAAAAAAAAGAAAAGAGAGAAACAGAGAATGATGTTATGGGAGGATTTTAATCCCAAGAAATTGCATAATGAAGTGAAAAAGTTAGAGGACATTGAACATGTAGTAGTCAGTAATAAAGTGATTTGGCAAACTAGGAAAGCGGAAATACTAGACGTGTTTGATTATTGGAGAAACTAATTGATCTATTATGTACTGGGAAGCACATCCCCCTTTCTACGTGGTTGATAGATATATTCAAAGACAGGAAAAATTTGGAGTTGACAATGCATTGCAGCTAGAGAATGCAGTTTATATTGTAAGATTCCACTCAATGGCTGCAAAACAAGAATATTTGAAAGACAATTTATATCACTTTTTAAAATGGAACACTAATCGTCAAAAATTGTCTATGGAAGAGAAATTTGACATGAAGTAGATAAAAAAAAAAAAGAACAGAAGAAGTACCAGTGTGCATACAACAACCAAAGTTGAAGCTTAGATATTGGACCACTACTACATTGAATTGCATAACAATTACAATTGGAAAATCCATTGAAAAGGATGATATGATCTCCCAAAAACTTACAAAAGGATATGCCAAAGTGTTGGTGGAAATGGAAATAAAGAAAACTATGCCAAATGAGATATGGTTTGAAGATGAGTTCGGGAGTTTAGGGGAGTAGAAAAAAATATTAATGGCAAAATGTGGCAATTGTAGAGATCCGATCATGAGGCACAACAATGCAAGCTGCCAATGACAAGAAAATATGCAAAAAGAAGTAATCATTCAACAAAAAGAACAGCCAAAACAAGAAGAAGACATGCCAGCAGGACGCTGCAAAAATACCACAAGTGAAGACACTAGAATGACCCCAAGAGGGCAAGAACTCATGAAGAGTGTTAAGGAAAAGAGACTAGAACAAACTCAGGCTCAAGAAGAACAAACCCCAAGAGGAAGCTGTCTTAATCACCGAAGGGAGGGAATTTAGATATTAAATCAGAAGGAGTAAAGTTGGCTAATGGAAAAAACTGTAATAAAGTGATAAATGGTATATGTTATTACTGGAACTTAGGGCCTAATAAACATCAATAACATACTAACATGGAATGTAAGGCCTTAACAGTCCCCTAAAACATAGGGGTCCCCTAAAACATAGAGAGGTCTGTAAATAAAGTTGGAATTGTTGGATTACTAGAAACTAAGTTAACTTGGGAAAAAGTGTTAGGATTAATGAAAAGGAAATGGAGAAACTAGGCCAATGCAAGTAATCATCAAGTAAAGGACAAGGAAAAATATTGTTACTATGGCACTGGGGGAATATGAAGTTAAGCTAAAATAACTAGCAATCAACGGATGCATTGCAAAGTGAGTGCAATAGCTAAGAGGAAGTTTGACCTCACAAAGGTGTATGGTGATTACCAAGCCATGGAAGAGATCAGTTCTGAAATGAGTTGATGGCATTGGCGGGTAACATAAATATGCTTGGTTAGTTATGGGGAACTTCATGGGCCTATTTAGTTGTTAGGGACGTTGGGGAACATAAAGTTAACATTCTTGGGATTTCAATTCTGAAGAAAATTAATATTTTAATTCACTTTTTCGATCCTAAAGATATGATTCTAAAGAATCTAAACTCTAAACTCTTTCTTGTGTTTGGTAACATGTGGGAAAAAAATTTGAATGTGAGAAACTAATTTTTTTTTCTTTTTTTTTTTAAAAAAACTGATAAGCCCTTTGCATGCTCTTTATGGAACATGAACTTATTCATGGCATTTATTAATACCTTGACTGTGTGTCTGTGTGCGTATTTTATTTTAATTTTATAATCTAACAAAGTTTATACAATTTTGACCTTGATTAATCATGTTCAAACTTTATTTAACATGACCTACTTAACATTTAAGGGTTAGACTTATTTGTTCATCACCATGTTAATATCATAAGTTATTTTAATGAATCTTTATTACACTATAAAAAAATTTTTAGATTATTATTTTTTTAATTCATTCATTTTTGTCAAGTCTATATATATAATATTAATGACATGTGAGTTCTAGCGAATGCAAACACAAAGAAATAAATATACATGGTGCAATAAACAAATAGAAAACTGCAAAATAATGTTAGAGCTTGACAAAACAATTATAAATGAGAAATGGATTAATGAGTATCTCAAACCTTTTACAATGATCCTAATAGTAGGAATCTCTTATCGCAGTCCATTGATGATGACATTGGGGGCGACAACATTAATGGTATGAGATTATGCATATTTTTAACATGTGGATACAATACTTGAATTATAGAAAGGTGTTAAACGAAGAATGGGAGAAAGACGTCATTGGAAGCTGGTAGTACAAGGTTCCACAGAAACAGAAAATGCTGAAAGCAATATTAAAAAAGTTAAACAAGAGTAATTTTGCACACATTGAGGAGCATGCACAAGAGTGGAAGCTCAAACTGGAGCAGGTATACCAATTGCTAAAGAATGATCAACTAAATTTCCAGCTGCAGGAAGAAGAAAAAGATGGCAACAGATGAATATATTGGAAAGAGCCAAGCAGTGACGAGTTTCTAGAATAAAAAATTAAAAGAAATCTATATACAAGAAGGAGACGTGAATATCAGGAACTTTCATGCAAGTATAAAGAAACAAATGATCAAAACCAGGGACGGACCTACAAAAGTGCCTGCAGGGTCCGTCGACCTTGTGGCTGCCGAAATTTTTCCTAGAAGTGATTATATTTTTTTTGTTTTTATTGTATAATTTATCTTCTCCAGAAACTCTCGAGCCCCTACAGTGAATTTGGAGAAAGTTGGATTAATAAATCATAAGAGGAAGTTGAAGGAGAAAAAAATTGTTTTGGTAGTCGGCGATGTGATAATCAGAGGAAAAGGGGAAGTGAAAGAGGTTGATGATGGAGAAGGTGATGTCGGCTTGGAGTTTAGTATCAAGAACTGGGCCAATTTAAAAGAACTTAAGAAATAAAAAAGATGGTTGGGCCTATACTGAACAAATTTATTTGGGTTTTGAAATAACGAACACAAACATTAATTTTTTTTCTAAACTTTTATTTAGTGAAATTTTAAACATATATTGTGCATTTATCTCTTTTATTTTATTTTTTATTTTTTTTGTACATGGAAAAAAAATTTCCTTTATTTTTAGCCCCTGCGGAGTTCGATGGCTAGGTCCGTCACTGATCAAAACCGAATTAGATCATATAAAGGCTATATTGATAGGCTAGTATAGCAATGGGATCAGGCATAGCATCATTTCTTATAATATTTTGGGAATTGACTGGAGAAAGGAATAGATAGAATACCAATAAAACTGTAGTCTTTACTTTAGGAATTAAACTGTCAATGTGCATGTACAGTCTCCTGATTAAAAACTTTAATAAACCCGACGTAAAGGAAGTGATGTTCAACATTCATATACGGAAAAGTTCATGACCTAGTGGATTTAGTAGCAGCTTCTACAAACGTGTATAAGACATAATGGGAGATGAAATATGCGAAGCAATGTTGGAACTTTTCAAAATA